ATATGGCATCCGATATGAGTCCTCCGTCCTTGGCTTGGGTTAAGCTGTCCATAAACACGAGCATGTTTGTCACGCAAGAACGGTGGGAGAAATCCGTGTTGGGCTGGAGATATCAGGTTGCTGGAAGTAAGGTGGTCTAGGATAGCCCGCTCCAGAATGCGTTTCATCACCTTGCACGGCACTCTAGTGAGGCTTATAGGCCTGTAGCTGCCAGGCGATAGTCGGTCACCAGTTTTGTAGATTGGCGTGACAATCGCTTCCTTCCAAGCAGAGGGAAGGCGGCCTTCGTCAAGCGACTGACGAAACACCAGGTATAAATGATTTACCAGTGTAGACGACGTTCCCTTCAGGACCCTTGGATGGACCTCGTCGGGCCCCAACGCACAGAATGGGTCGATCTTGTGCAACAGTTAACGAATGTCCCCCACCGTGAAGACCAAGTCGGTTTTCGTAGTTATGCCTTGACAAGAGTGGATGTGACGAGGACTCTGGAAATGAATACAGACCTGCATAGTGTTCTCTGTAAACCTCAGATACCACGTTTGGGTTGTTGTTCTCCGTTCCTGTCTCTCAAGGAGAACGCGGATGGCTTGTTTCCGCGGTGGTCTCATGTATCTGAACATACGTTTTTGTCTGTAAACCTCAGATACCACTGTTGGGTTGTTGTTCTCCGTTCCTGTCTCTCAAGGAGAACGCGGATGGCTTGTTTCCGCGGTGGTCTCATGTATCTGAACAATACGTTTTTGTTTTTTTCGAGCGATGTCCAGGATAGTGGCTTGTTTTCGTATGTTCCATTGGCGGATTTCTGATTTACAGCAGTTCCGCATTTCACGAAAAGCCAGCTCATCTTCTGTATCCCCTGTAGTCGACTTTTTGAGAAAAAAGTTGGGGCCTCTTCCATAGGTCGCCGAATCCTTTTTGGCAGACTGCGACTCATCCGAGTGCGTGCTGGTTTTTTTGGGACGAACATCGCGTCAGCCTCGTGAACTTTCTGGACAATAAAAAAAGAAAAAGCGTTCAGCTGTAGCACCCTTCTGGTGCCTGGCTGCCATGCCACCCGAAGGAAGCTGGGATACTGCCAGGTTGCCCAAGCCTAGACAGGGGAAGTCGAGTGGCAGAGGTCGGATTCGAACCACGGACCTTCCGGTCAGTAAATTCACGCTGTACACAATTGGGCCGTCTCGTCCCCTTTCTGGAAAATGGTCCTATGTAATTCTTCCACTGGAGCTGGTCCCAATGAAACTTGTTCAAGAAAGATGCCAAAAGACTTTGGTCAGTTCATCCAAAAAGGCGTGCGCCTCCACCTCCTCTTTGAAGATGAGAACGATGTCGACTGCGTATTCCAAGTCGACAAAGTTTTCATCAAGGCAGGATTCCTATTGTCCCGGGAGGCGTCCAGTAGATCTGCCGACAAAGTGGACGTCTCGACACTCGATATTAGAGGGAGGAGTGTCCCAACAGCGTCGAGGCCTTGGTTATCCGGCGACTTGGTTTAATTTATCAGACAGATTTAATGCAGCCAATTATGACATATCGACTGTTCAGCGTCGAGTTTGAAAACTGTCCGAACCAGTTCGTGTTGCGATTATGAGGACTCATGCAGAGGACACACACGTCATCATCGAAAGCACATCACTGTCCAACACTGATACTTCGTTGCTGTACAACCATGATTTATTTGGAAGCCTTGTTGTTGTTATCATCATCATCATCAACGACAGAAACATCAGTTTTGGCAGTGATGCTTCACTGCCTTGTTGTGAAGAGAAATAGACGGGAGGGGGGAATTAGTGCTAACCTACCAAAATTATTCAGAGGTGCATACATCTTCAAACACTGATCCAGGCAGTCTAGACGGAAACTGACAACAAGACTGACATTGGTGTCGGCTTTGCGTTCCTCTGTCAATCCGTTAGCGTGGTCCTACGCTGTTTGGGTTTGGTTGGCGGCNNNTGTTCAGCAGGCGGAATGTAAATCGATTCCGCTCCGGTTTCCGCCAGTGGTTAGTTTACGAACGCTTGCTGTCTTCCTTTTACAGCGTTATAGGCATCGATGAATACTTCCAGGACCCCAGTTCATTTCGTTGTCCGCTTGTTTGTCCTGAAGTTGTTGCCTGGTAGGCACTGTCCTCGGTCAATACTCAAGCCTCCCGCGACCGATCGTGGATATACAGTGGTCAAAGTGTTTTCGGCGGAAATATGAATTACACTCAGTTTATGACTATGAATTCCTCATTTTGAACCAATACCATATAGACAATACAGTAATTGATGCTGTCTTCTGGGACTGCCGAGGGCATGCTTGTTGTTCCTTCCAAACACAGACTAGATCACTTCCTCCCTGAGTTTTTGCACAGATTTAGGTACCAACATGGGGGTCGACCATTTGAAAAACCAATTATTCTCTATGTGTACCCTGAGCAATTCTCAAAATCATCACCTTCTCCATGCAAGCAAAAAGGTTGAATGCGAGCACTGTTTTTAAAAATTGAAAACGGTATATCTTCGTCCAGCTGTTGATAAAGTTCTCAACGAATGATCTGTGGTTTGGATCCAATGACAACAGCGAAACTCCACCCATCGTTATTTAATTATACATTGTAATAAGAAGGGGGTACCAGGGGTACCAGTGACAAATGAGATGGTCTTGAGATCAGCTTTAGACGCCCTTAGGATATGGCTCATCAAGGGATGCCTTAGATTTCGCAACTGTGTATTGCTCTAATTAGAGTGAATGCATGCCTAAACCGTCACTGGAAGTTAAGCTCTGCAACGGCCCCTACGCTCAACTCATACACGATTGGTCAAAAGGTTAAATGGTTAGCCGAACGGCATGAAGGTAGGTTCTGATTGGTTGAAAATGAGGAGAAAACTCTCAGTTGAGTTCCAGTTTATGATTACAACTGATAGCCAATGATGGGTCTGGTGTAGCGTGGGATGTCGGGAAGTCAGCGGTATTCGACGTTCGAGAGGACGGCACACGTCAGTTCTGAAATGTGCAGATATACGGACTGGTATTAATGAATCCACACAGTATACACAGCACACATGCGCACAGGTCGGGTGAGACAGAAGAGAACACCGGAGCACGGTAACGACACGCGTGTATTCGAACCAAACCGAAACCGGAAGTCAGGGGTGTACAAAGTTGGGTCAAGGTCAGTTAGGGGGGGGGGTTGTACAAGCGGCTATTCTTTCCCGTCCGGGGCTCGTGGTGGTTCGACCATGGTACCTGCACCAGGGAGAGAGGGAGGGGAGAGACGCATAAGCTCATGTGATAGACGTGCATACTGAGACAGTCGAGTTTCAACTGCGTTACACTGGGAGAATTTAAGATTCCTTGCACCTGATTGTGAAGCATGTTTGGACGTAACGTGCCATCCATGGGCGCTCAGTATTCGCACAATGGAATTAAATTTTAGAAAGGTATGAAGTGTCCCGGGTGGATATTGGTGTTCTGCATCTTTCTTTTACTTCCATTATAACATTACGTATTTGGCCAACTGCATGGCCGTTTTTTATTTGAATACGAAAACTATAAAAGACGCGCACCTGTGCACTTTCAAGCAACCAAAACGCGGTCACTTTTCTTCTACTCTCTTGTCTGACTTCGCTCGCGCTTACAGTGACCATTCGCGAGTCTCATGAACTTACACTGGCATCAGGACATTTCAGACTACCCTCGGCATCTATAAGCGAGAGCCGTTTGGAAGAAGACCCTTGGACAACCATGACTGGATTATTGTTTATTTGCCCACCTGAGCCAACGTCGGACTATTGTAAAGACAACAATTCTTGGTGAGTCTGTTCCATCTGACCTCTTTATGATTGTGTGCCCAAACTAACGCTATTATTTTCATTTCTTTGCCACAACCCCTGGTAAATTAGCTTTCTGGGTAGCCAGACCCCCTACATAGTAGGGCTAGTCAGGAAGTCAGCGGTATTCGACGTTCGAGAGGACGGCACACGTCAGTTCTGAAATGTGCAGATATACGGACTGGTATTAATGAATCCACACAGTATACACAGCACACATGCGCACAGGTCGGGTGGTACAGGGAAGAAGACCGGAGTGTAGCAACAACGCACGTGTATTAACCCGAACCGAAACCGGAAAGAAAAAGAAAGTACAATCAAAGGGGGGCCGGTCAAGGTCAGTCCGGGGGGGTTGTACAAGCGGCTATTCTTTCCCGTCCGGGGCTCGTGGTGGTTCGACCATGGTACCTGCACCAGGGAGAGAGGGAGGGGGGAGACGCATAAGCTCATGTGATAGACGTGCATACAGAGACAGTCGAGTTTCAACTGCGTTACACTGGGAGAATTTAAGATTCCTTGCACCTGATTGTGAAGCATGTTTGGACGTAACGTGCCATCCATGGGCGCTCAGTATTCGCACAATGGAATTAAATTTTAGAAAGGTATGAAGTGTCCCGGGTGGATATTGGTGTTCTGCATCTTTCTTTTACTTCCATTATAACATTACGTATTTGGCCAACTGCATGGCCGTTTTTTATTTGAATACGAAAACTATAAAAGACGCGCACCTGTGCACTTTCAAGCAACCAAAACGCGGTCACTTTTCTTCTACTCTCTTGTCTGACTTCGCTCGCGCTTACAGTGACCATTCGCGAGTCTCATGAACTTACACTGGCATCAGGACATTTCAGACTACCCTCGGCATCTATAAGCGAGAGCCGTTTGGAAGAAGACCCTTGGACAACCATGACTGGATTATTGTTTATTTGCCCACCTGAGCCAACGTCGGACTATTGTAAAGACAACAATTCTTGGTGAGTCTGTTCCATCTGACCTCTTTATGATTGTGTGCCCAAACTAACGCTATTATTTTCATTTCTTTGCCACAACCCCTGGTAAATTAGCTTTCTGGGTAGCCAGACCCCCTACATAGTAGGGCTATAGGGCAATTTATTTTAAGGTACCCGTCCAAATTTTTGAGCCCATTTAGGAATCTCGGGGTTCCAGCAACACTGGGAAATTATTCCACCAGACTTTTCCGCCAGAGGAATGATTGCTACAGTGAGTAATGAAATTCGGTGAGTTTAAAAAATTTGAACGTGGATCGGGATAATTATTGGTTTGAGCACATACACAAAAACTTCAACATTTTTGCGCGGTTTTACTTCACTCGTAATGGTTTTTCAGCTAAAAGCACCGCGCCGCTAATGGCCCTCAGAAATGGGTTTTGTTTTCGTGCATTTAATCCTGCCATATAGTCTTGGTGGCTGGCCTATTGCAGGTCGAGCAAAGCCGCTCACTGGAAGCATACCTAAATTAATTTAGAGGAAACTAAAGGGCTTTCAAAGCTGTGATCTTCACGAGCAGTCAGCCTCGTACATCCACACCTTTTGGTGACATTTCTCAGCATTTTGTGAAAGTGGGCGAAATTTGAAGGTTACAGAAAATCACCGATTCCCACCTTGTTATCGGTTTGCATGAGAGGAAGCGCGAAATCGCAGTTCAGCATATTTTGGAGTTCTTCACTGTTCATTGCGAACAAAATAACATCTACAGAATATGTAATACAAATTCCACGCAGGAAACTCTTCAGATTTACTAAATGAGATAATTTTGTTCAGCAAAGTTGATCGAAGTAATTTTTCCTATGGAGTTCAGCTTTCATTGAGCAAAACATTGTCGACAACAGCATGAACTTTGCAGGGCAATGCGAGGACCTTCTCTGTAGATGATCCCACTTCCCAGATATACATAACGAGTCTAAATAATCCGGCGTCACGAGATAGGTGTAAGTAAATAACCAACACAATGGTGTCATTACTACTAGAAATATGACGCTCTATAAGTGATGACCGCCATAAAGCGGTCACCATGAGGCAACCGCTCCCACCTTGTTATCGGTTTGCATGAGAGGAAGCGCGAAATCGCAGTTCAGCATATTTTGGAGTTCTTCACTGTTCATTGCGAACAAAATAACATCTACAGAATATGTAATACAAATTCCACGCAGGAAACTCTTCAGATTTACTAAATGAGATAATTTTGTTCAGCAAAGTTGATCGAAGTAATTTTTCCTATGGAGTTCAGCTTTCATTGAGCAAAACATTGTCGACAACAGCATGAACTTTGCAGGGCAATGCGAGGACCTTCTCTGTAGATGATCCCACTTCCCAGATATACATAACGAGTCTAAATAATCCGGCGTCACGAGATAGGTGTAAGTAAATAACCAACACAATGGTGTCATTACTACTAGAAATATGACGCTCTATAAGTGATGACCGCCATAAAGCGGTCACCATGATAACGGCAACCGCTGTCACTCAACCCGACTATTTATCGTAGCCACTGGGTCCGCCTTTTTGTGCGACGCCGATTGTGAGGCCTGGCCTGTGCACGGCAACCTAATTCAGTGGCGAACGACGGGCCCTAATAATCATGAGTCTATGCGTAATCACTCATCTCCAATACTTATTGCAACTGCTTGGCCCGAGTCTACGTGCGTCGCTGATTATGAGGTCCCACCTATGAACAGTAACCTGATCCAAGGGACAACGACGGTCTTCCACGCCCATAACTATGCGCGATGTTGCCCATCTTTGCTACCTATAATAAACACCAGGCCACTGTCCATGTGGGCCGGTAAAAACAAGGCCTCAGCTATGCCTGACAGCCTTATCTGACGACCCGTCACACTCACCGCTATACTCGAAGTCACCTTACTTGGCGACTTATCATACCTGCCAGGTCCGTGCCCATGTGCAACGTCGATTAACTGCTGACCTAAGCCAATCTAGCACTTCATATACGTAAATGTACGCGCTGTCGCTTACCTTTGCTACTTAGGATAATCACCAGGCAAGCATTTATGCGAACCAACGAAGACGAGGCCCACAAACGTAATCTAACGGCGAACGATGGGTCATCATACCCATTAGTGGGCACGATCCCGCTTACGTCTGCTATTTATGGTAAACACCGGGCCAATATATATGGAGGCCGACAGAAATGAGGCTCTAACAGTACATAATATCCTAACCTAACGGCCAATGATGACCCGTCCTACTCATAACTGTAGCCAATATCGCCTACCTTGGATGATTATCGTATTTACTAGGCCTGTGTATGTGCAACACTGTGTGTGGCCTCAACTATAGCCAGTAGCCCAGCCGACGACGGTCCATCATTCTCAGTGGTACTCGATGTCAACTGCCGAGGTTACTTATAGTAACTGCTTGGCCCGTGCACATGCCCGTAGCTGAATACGATGCCCCAACTATACATAACAGACTAATCCAACGACCAGCGGTGGTCTTCCATGTTCACACGTCGTTCGCCTGTCGACCCCATGCTTAAAAAATACATAACTACCTTTAACATATAATGTTCCTATTTATTGGTTGCATTGGTTCAAACATAATGTGTGGTCAAACCAGTTCTCAGTTTCAGGAAGCCGCTTTTACTTGATAAGGACCCTGAAAGATGTCTAATCAATTACGGCTCGTACACGTCTTCCGCGGTCTCATTAAACATGCATGTCATTCAAAACATTAGACAAAGTTGTAATGGCTAACTCCTTAACTACTCAATAAATGCCTTCATCCACGATTCCTGGTCGGTATCCGCGCCGAAACTGGAGTCTTACTGTCATAAAGGTAGCTCACTATACCTCTAATATTTCCCAGACGAGCGTGTTGCACGCACTCACAGGACCGTCTCAGTCCGTTTATTTTATGCATGGACTTAAAGACAGTGGCAATCGTATTACGCCATCTGCCTGTCCTGCCCACAAACCCAACAGTCCGTTCAAAGGCACTATTAGTGGCTTCGTAAATCACCCAAGACCAAAACATTGCTTTGCGCCAGCTATAACACGTGCTGATTGCCATTAAAAATTACTTGCTGAGACGAATTCCTTGGTTTCCCCTGGAGGCTTGCCGCTGCGATTAACAATTATTCATGTGCAGGCCGCGAATGGCTGCTTCATTTTCAGTTTGCACGGAAGTGAACGGAAAAAACGCATGGAGAAGCCAGCTATTCCACAAAATTTCTCACTTTTTTCACGGAGACAAAGCATGAAGTCGCTGGTAGTCATTAAAATACGAATTTCGCGCCCACAGCAGACTCCAAGTTCGTTTAAACAGTTTCTAATAAAACTGCAGCCGCATGTGGAGATTTCAAGGACCTGAATATATAGCATCATATGCGTAAATGTCATATTAAAGATTCCTTCCCTCAAAATACGGTTTCAGAGGAATTTTGGAGGCGCGTCCAAGACTCGGCTCGAGCAGCAACTGAAGATGAGGAGGGGCATCATTTCGATTATCCAGAGAAAACCAAGACGTCCTTTGAGTTAAGCTATCCCCGACAATCATCGCCACAGTAAGGAAAGTTTGAAGGGTCAGAAACACAGCCAAATGTTTCACCGACTAGAAAGTCAGGCGGTGTTCCCCTTGGCCTTATTAGCTGAGGCCGACGCGCCTTCAGTTAGAGAGCTTATTTTTGTCTCACATGATTGTAAGTTTTCTACTCCTGAATGAGTCGGTAAAAGGGCATTTCGGACGCTTTTCTTATAAATCTGACGCCGCGCAGAAATTCATAAAATCTGGGACCAAAACACAAGGTTGCGGCCTTCGACCAAGCCTCACGGGTCTGGTTGGCTCCAGTCATTTAGCGGCCTGCGTTCACCTCGGCCCCAGACAGTAAGCGTGCCAGCGCGGGGACGCACATAAAATGTGTCCAAAATCTTTTTGAAC